TAGTGTTCTCGATCTGCAAATGGCATTTCGGGCTCATCCTCTTACTGACGACCATGAACTCCGTCTTCTTGCAGTTTATGCTTAGTCCCATCTTCTCACTCTACGTCGCTATCTTCTGTGGGAGATTTTTTAGTTTCTTTTCCGTGTCTGCTATCATTACTGTGTCATCTGCGTATCTTATTTTGTTAAGATTGTGGTAGCCAACGCTAAACCCCGGTAGGGTTTCCAAGATTTTTACAGTGGTTTTGTATGAATAGAATACGTATTCTTTTTAAGAAATCAGTTTGGGGTGCACTGTTTTTTTTTACGGCATATCAACATCAATGGGTCATTTAATTTCGACAAGATTTTTAGTGTGGCTTCGTGTGAATAGAATACGTATTCTTTGTAAGAATTCAGTATAGTTTGGAGTCTTATGTTTTACGGTATATCAACCTGAATGAGTTATTTAATGCTGAAAAGTTTTTAGGTGGGGTTCGTATTAATAGAATACGTATTCCTTGTAAGAATTCAGTTTTTTTTTTTTTGGATTGTTTTGTTTTACGGTATATCAACCCAAACGGGTTACTTAATGCCGACAATATTTCGGGGGGCTTCATGAATAAGATACGTATTCTTTGTAAGAATTCAGTTTGGTTTGGATTATTTTGTTTTACGGCATATCAGCTTGAATGGGTTACTTTATGCCGACAGGATTTTTAGGGTGGTTTCGTATGAATAGAATACGTTTGTAAAAATTCAGTTTCGTTTGGATTTTTCAAGTGAGAAAATCTATTGGAACACGTGACTGACATGTGTTCCTTGTTACCATGGTGTTGTCTTTTAAACTGATTATTTAAACATAAAATTGCTCTGAATGACTACTCATGATTTTAACTTGGGATTTCACCTGTAACGATTGCATTTCTTGTTAAGAAGGATAGACCAACTTAAATACAAAAAAGCTGTCTATGAGAGAAAATCAAACCATTTTGAAGCTGAGAACAGAAGGATAATCGATCAGAGCCATTAGACAAAGACTGGGCATAGCCAAGACAACAATTTGGATGTCCTCAAAAAGAAGAAAACTATTGGTGTACATGCATAGCACAGGTCGGTCAAGGAAAACAAAAACAGCAGTTGATCATAGTCATTGTTAGAGCTGTGAGGAAAACCCCAAAACAGCAGTCAGTGACATCACCAACAACCACCAAGATGCAAGGGTAAAGGTTTTACAATCTTCGGGAGCAGAAATATAGAGGCCACATCACAAGATGCAAACCACTCATCAGAAGTAAAAATGGGAAAGCCAGATTGGAATTTTCAAGTAAGTACAGAGATGAGTGCCAAAAGTTCTGGAAGAAAGTTTTATGGACTGATGAGACCAAGATTAATCTTTACCAAAGTGATGAAAAGGCCAAAGTATGGAGAAAGAAAGAATCTGCCTATGATCCAAAGTATAGAAGCTCATCTGTGAAGTATGATGGAGGCAGTGTCTTGGTTTTGGCTTGCATGACTGCTTCCGAAACAGGCCCATTTATATTTATTTAGGATGTAACTCATGATGCTAGCATCAGAATGAATTCAGAAGTTTACAGAAACATTTTGTCTGCCAATTTACAGAAGAATGCATCCATACTAATCGGGTGGAAGTTTATCATTCAGCGGGACAATAACCTAAAAAATGTTACCAACAAATTAAGGACTTCGTCAGGGACAAAGTGGACAGTTTTAGACTGGCCTTGTCAATCATCGGACCATAACCCAATAGAGCATTTCATCTCTTGAAGAGGAGACGGAAGTAAGAAATCCCTTGAAACAATGAAAAACTGAAAGAGGCTGCGTTAGAAGTCTGGAAAAGCATCACAAACGAAGAATGTAAAAGTTTGGTGATGCCAAGAGTTGCAGGCTTGATGCAGTTATTGCTAACAAGTTTTATACAACCACATATTAAATGTTATTTTCTTTAAGATTTAAACACTTCAAGAATTTAACCCTAGAACACTAACCATCAATTAAAGTTACACCACTACTAACCATGGGTATATGATACCCGATTTTGAAAATATCCCCCCAAAAAATATTAAATATAAATCTTTATTTGAAATATTTTACGTGCAGGCACTTCAAATTGTGTACTTTGAGTTAACATTAACAGGAACTGAGAAACATATTATTTAGGTAAGAAAATCAGGTACGGAAAATTGTAATTAAAAAGAGGAAAATTTGCGCTGGGTACTATATACCCATGGTTAGTTTTCTAGGGTTAAAAGAAATGAATTGGCCTTGTCCTTCCAATAATTTTGGAGGAGACTGATATATTTCAGATAGGTTGACATAGAAGGATGCCGTAATAAAATATCATAACGAATATCGAACCTCATGAATACCTTATGTGGGAATAGAAAACCCATCGCTTCATATTACCAAAAGAGCTACAACCTTGTCCCTTGTAATATCAATTTCGATAAGAAATGTATTACTATGGTAATTATCAAATATTCCTGAGGAATGTGTGAGTCTAATAATCAACTAGCGATTGAATCAGCGAACAGCAAAAGATTGAATTTCAACAAACACTGATTAACCTAGGATGCACCCTGGGGACCGATAGATAAAGGACGACTGACGAAACAAGGGATAGAGAAAGCGAATAGTTTATGATAATATTTTATAAGAATGCAAGTGTAAATATGGCGACCTTGGACCCTAAAAACTGCAACGAGGCTAATTTTAATATTAATTACATTTTCTATGTTAACCGACATTGTTTTCTTTTTATGTTCTGTGATGGCATTTTCTGTTTCGATATTTTCGTAGGCCGTAGAATATATCAGCCGAAAAATGGTGCTAAAATAACCATAGATAACGAATAAATACGAGGGTGGTCTGAAAAGTTCCTATGATGACTATGAAGGAGTGATGCTAGAGCTGTGAAATCTTTCATGCATTAATTTCAACTCTTCATATTTAAGGTTATTTAAAGCCCGAAAATAGTAAGAACAGTTTGCAGATAATAATGATTTTTTCTGATACAAGTTCTACTAATTAGCCAATAGTTTGCAGGGGTGGGGTGAATTCTTTCCCAAGAGTATTAAGTGCAACGGCTCGAAACTGGAATTCGGGGAGTCGAGTTCCAATTTCGAGCCGTTATCCAACCGCACATTCAATTTTACAGCACACGGTAGTCCTAAGCAGTCAGCCATCTAGATACTGGCCAGGCTCGACGTTGCTTAACTTCGGTGATTGTACGTGAGATAGTCGTAAACCGTATATTAGTTGTATGCAAGTTCCCTGCGTTTTTTTTTTTGTTTGTTTTTTTTTCCTCGTGGTACAGTGTAACCCGGATATAAGAGACTTGTCGGGACCGGAGAAGAAGTCTCTTATATCCGGGTTTCTCTTATATCCGGGTTTGGTCTAATTTATATACATTCACACAGGCTCTAATTTGGGACCAGAGAAATTCTCTCTTATATCCGGGTTTCTCTTATATCCGGGTCTCTTATATCCGGGTCTCTTATATCCGGGTTACACTGTACTATTATTTATTTAATTTACAGGGTGGTCTGAAAGTCTTGTCACCCCCTACCAAAAAGTAATGAGAACAATTGAAGAACAAGTAATAATACAAAGCAGATGAACTGGATTCTGTTTATTCGCTTTCATTGACGCTGTCATACATCGAGCTATGTGTACACCATCATTTTCGTGAGACAAAATGATGCGGTGACATGTCCTGTGTGATATTTTACGAAGCTGTACTTTGTCGATTGTTGTGCAAAGGCTCTCCGAACGGCGCCCTTCAACTGCTGGATATTTTGCTACCGTTCATGTGAAACTCTCTCTTTGATTAATACCCCACAAGAGCATTGAAATAGAAAATTATATTATGTAGAGGTGACCAGACTTTCGGACCACACTGTATCATTTTTTTTATTTTAAATAGGGCGCTGAAAATGTTTACATACGCCAGATAAATATGTTCGTGTTGGTGAATACATTTGTGTAAACGCTTGTGCATAATTGTTTGTACATGTTTTTGTGAGTGTATATACGTGTACGCGTGTGAGCGAACGAACTCCCGTGTGGAAGAGAAAGGAAGAGAAGTCGAATCAACCGCTGGGTGTTTATAGAAAAGGCGGTAAAATCGATCGTGCATACTCTTCCATGGCGAGAAATACTGACAAGGTAAACATCTTCACAAAATGTGACTCATTTGATAATATGGTTTTGCCACAGACAACGCCAAAGACCGCCGAGGACGGCTGTACAAGACATCAAGAAGAAAGGTTTGCACATAGAATTAAAAACGCTGGGTTTGAGACATCTGGTGAGAAGCAGCGTTCATAATTACGGAGCCTTCGTCAAGTCATCCGCGTTATATAGAAAATACTGACAATATTGGCAGGTTTCCCGGCGGGAAATCCGGTGGCCCCTGGCAGGCAAGTCCCTGCTCTTAGGGTAAATTTGAATATGCGCCCGTTTGGTTCTCTCTACGCAACGTTCTATCTGCGAGTGTATCCAGTTGCTTCTTTCTTTCTTTCTTTTTCTTTCTTTCTTTCTTTTTCTTTCTTTCTTTCCTTCTTTTTCTTTCTTTCTTTCCTTTCTTTTTCTTTCTTTATTTTTCTTTCTTTTTCTTTCTTTCCGTTCACCTTCCTTCCCAGTTCTTTCTTTCTTTCATTCACCTACCCAGTAGTCGTTCTCTCTACCTCTCGTTCATTCTCGTGGGATTTGCTAAATTTTGATAAGTTGGCAACAAGGACATAAATGTAGGCTACTGTGGGAATCAATGACTCCAAATGAACTTAAAGGAACGTCTGTACGTCTCCGTGGAATGACACTTGCTTGAACTGGTTTCTTTTACCAGAGTGAATCTTATCGCAGTATGCGTCACTATCTAAAGCTCAGACACAGACAATGCACTGACAAAGTAACCGAAATTTTTTACAGAATTTATCAAAATATCTACAAATATCTGAATTTTCATTCGGATGCTTGAACTTTTATTTTCTAATTTTATGTTAGTATATATATTTTGATAGATAGATAGATAGATAGATAGATAGATAGATAGATAGATAGATAGATAGATAGATAGATAGATATTTAATAGAAATTCTTAGGATGAAAACTATACTATATTCTGTATATTGATTTGCAATGAAAAAAGCTGAGATGTGAAAAAAAAAGAAAGAATAAGATCATGTACTTAACCGAAATACAGCATAGAATTCAAGGGAAAGAAAAAAATAACCCGATGTGAAAGAATAAATAAAGCAATACAAAGAGAGCAGATACATCGACAGACAGACAGAATAGGAAAGATGTGAATATATAGATAGATGTGAACAGGCTGTGAGAGATGGAGACAGATCGAGATAGATATGAAAAGATATAAATAAACAGAAAGACAAATAAAAAGAATAGGAAAGATGTGAATAAAAATAGATAGAAGTAAAAATAGATGTGAAATGATAGATGTTAAAATCCGTGATTGAAAAATTGATAAATAAAGATAGGTACAGAAGATAGAATTGAAAAGGAATATATAGATAAAACAAATTTAATCACTGGAACAGATCGATAAAAGATTTAAATAGACAGAAAGACAAATAAAAAGAATGGGAAAGATGTGAATAAAAATAGATAGAAGTAGAAAGCCATAGATAGATGTTAAAATCCGTGATTGATAAATTGACAAATAAGATAGGTAGAAAGATAGATTTGAAAAGGAGGAGATAAATAAATAGATAGAAAGATAGAATAGAAAATACTGAATATATAGATAGATAGATAGATAGATAGATAGATAGATAGATAGATAGATAGATAGATAGATAGATAGATAGATTGAAAACGGGGACGTGATGAATAGGTGCAAAAGAACAATATTCATTGCTTAACATCGAAAGACTGACCACAATGCTGTGAGATTGACCGACTGTTCTAAGATCACTCATGTTTGAATAAGTGTGAGAGAGAACAAAAATGCAACAGAGATTTCGATAGATATGAACCGATAGATAGATAGATAGATAGATAGATAGATAGATAGATAGATAGATAGATAGATAGATAGACTGAGTAAAAATATTTTCTGTTATAATAAATAAGAAAGAAAAAAAGAAATAAAGAAAAATGAATAAAGAAAGGAAAGAAACGAAACGAAATGAAACGAAAATAAAAATAAAAAAGTAATTAAGAAATAAAGAAAGAAAGAAAGAAAGAAAGAAAGAAAGGAAGGAAGGAAGGAAGGAAGGAAGGAAGGAAGGAAAGGAAGGAAAAAAAATAAATAAAGGAATTGAATAGAAAGAAAATCAGAAAGAAAGAAGCAAAGAGAGAAAGAAAAGAAAGAAAGAAATGAAAAGTAAATACAAAATGAAGTAGAAAGAAAGAAAGAAACGAAACGAAAAGAATAATGAAAAAGAAAGAAAGAAAGAAAACTAAATAAATAAAGGAATGGAATAGAAAGAAAATCAGAAAGAAAGAAGCAAAGAAAGAAAGAAAGAAAGAAAGAAAGAAAGAAAGAAAGAAAGAAAGAAAGAAAGTGTGAAGTGAAAGGGAAGAATGGAACATCTGCGAATAAATCAGTTACCCTTTCAATTTTTCACTCTTCATAGTCTAAAAAGAGGATTCTGCTATCAATTAACTCGTTCATATTATTGTGAATTGTTGAAATAATTTTGCCAAAATTTGTAAATAAAAATAAAGCATTGACAATTATTGAAACTGTCTGGGATCGATTTGACACTGTAAAGATATTATGAACAGGAAGTCACTTCAAAAATGATAAGAAGAAATCAATAATTTTCACTTCTGACAAATATCGTTAGTCGAGAAAGATTTAATGAATCTAAACTACAAAAAATATCACACACCAAAAAAAAAAAAAAAGACAAAAACAAAAATCCCTACTTTTTTTACGAGCGGAGTACTGCCTAATTATTCCTGTATACGACACAGTATTTATTTCAAGATTTTTATGCTTAAAAAAAAGTTAAGAACACGTGTATGTCTCCAAGGAATGACATACGCTTACACTGAACTCTTTCACCCCACTGAACCATATCGCAGTATGCGTCATAGTCTAAAGCTCAGACACAGACACTGTAATGATGTGAATGTTACTACGTTACAGAATGGCCAAAAAATCCAAAGATTATCAGATAATTTACTCAAAATCAGAATCTTCATTCAAGGCGGTGTAATTCTATTTTCCTTCTAGATAGATAGATAGATAGATAGATAGATAGATAAAAAAACTAGCAAGAAAGAGCAAAATAAGATTGCGCAAAGAGATAGATAGATAGATAGATAGATAGATAGATAGATAGATAGATAGATACGATGCGACAGAGATAGATAGATAGATAGATAGATAGATAGATAGATAGAAAGATATATAGATAGATAGATAGATAGATAGGCTGAAAAGCAAAATAATCATTTGGTTAATATCAAATCACTTAAATACTTTTTTCTTCCCGGAATTTTCGAAAACTAGTCTTCATAGAATATATCGTAAAAATATAACAATCTAATCTACTGATTGTATTTACATTTAAATTCAAGTTAAAAATACGTATTTTTTAAAATCATTTCACCCCAAGCAAGGTGTTAAAGTTGTTAAGACGCAATGTTTTACTGAGAGTGAAAAGAAATCCGAGAAAAACATTATTAAAAAGCGAGGACAATAAAAGAACAGAATTTAAGAAGACAAGATAACGATTGACATTGCATTTAAATTTTTGAAGATAAAATTTGACAAGAAAGCATGAAGCCAGAATAGTGTTCCACGAATGAAAAGTGCGAGAAAAATATCCCGTTAACATAGAACTTACAGTTAGATCTAGCCATTTCAATTGTAAATGATGAGGCCTTGCTACCAATCTATTACAGCGCTTAAATTCATAAAATCTAAGTACAACAGAGGCAAGTTCTTCAGAACAATTAAGAAGAAACTGTTAAAATAGAACTTACGGTTACATCTAGCCATTTCAATTGTAAATGATGAGACCTTCCGACCAATCTAGTACAGCGCTTAAATTCATAAAGTCTAGGTATAATAACGGAAACTTCATCCGAAAAATTACCATGAAATATTTATAGAAAAGGCACAGGGATACATTCCGGTTGTAGGGAAGTGACAGAAGCCGAGATACCAGGACAGGACTAATAATATTTCGGATTTTCTTTGAATTTCATCAGGAATCTCTAGATGAATAAGAAAGCACCTGACCAGATGTGGCACCAATATTCAATCCAAGAACGAATGATGTAAGATAGATTCTAGCGAGAACATTTTTGACATTGAGACAACATTCCCACCAGCAGACCTTGTAAGTGATTCAGGATTTATCCATCTAGATATTAACTTTGTATCCGTCCCCGTACAACTGTATATTCAGCAGGGTATAACAGAAAGTAAGGTTGATAAGCCGTAAAAACAAACCAATCAATCAATCTCCCGCTCTTTCTTTCTCTCTCTCTCTCTCTCTCTCTCTATATATATATATATATATATATATATATATATATGTCTGTGTGTGTGTGTGTGTGTGTGTGTGTGTGTGTGTGTGTGTGAATCATCCCGTCGTATTCGACGTATGAGTGTCAAGCAAAAGAGTTAATAGGAACCAACAGCCCAGACACCAGCAAATATGATTTGATTATAGTGGGGGAAGGCTTTGTGTTGAACCAACCACACTTTATGAAGGGCCGAATATAGAGACCTGGTGCACTACGTGCTACAAGGTCCCCAAACCACCCTACGCAAAGTTTTCAGAGTTTTCTTTCTCGTAGACTAGTCGCCATACAAGACTATAGAACCCAGTCTGTCCTGCTATTTACACATTCCTGAAGAGAGAAGAAGGGATTAATACCTTCCCAAGGGTATTAGCACTTAATGGATCGACTGGAATTCGACTCTCCAATTTCTCAATCGGAGCCGCTATCCACTACACCACCTTACCGCTCCATATAACATTTACTGGCCTTAATGTACGAGAAATTTCATAAAAAATACGTGTTCTCCGAGAAGAATCGAACCTGTATCCTACACGGAACCGTCATATAG